CGCGTGCGTGCTCTTTGCCCAAACAAACAACGCATAGATCGTGTGTGTCATCAGATGTTAAACAACGTCAACACGGATGCACACATCCTTAAATGCTTTGCTAGTGCTCACCATAATGAGATAAATAGAGATCGCTCTTACCACAGAAATGCACGCTTCAAACAAAACAGTCAATGAAGACGAAGAAGAGAATGATGTGTGCTCCCGGCGCCTATTTATACTATAGTCGCACCGGTAGTGACGTCATGGCTGTCGCCGGCCAACGAGTTGGTGTTTTTTCAATGTATGCTTCAGACACGGGTCACGACGAGGCGTTCCCCATAGCGACCCCTAGAGGACGCAGTTCGAAGTTCCCATGAAAGGGAACTGAAGCTACCACACCAATCCTTATGGCCATGCACCACCACCCACAGAATCGAGAAAGACCCATCAATCTGTCAGTCCTTTCCGTGTCCTGGCTGGGTGAGGCTTCCCATGTTGAGTCTAATTAAGATGCACGCTCCACTCCTGGTGGGCCCTTCCCATCAATTTCTTTAAATGTAATCGTTGCAACCATACTCCCTTCAGAACCCAGACTCCTACATGCTGCCCTGTTGATTACTGGAATAACGCTGCCGGAAAGTGGGTGCAGCATTTACGGTCTGAACTACGACAGTATCTGATCATCTTCGAACCTCCCTCTTATAAAGTGTATCAAGACATTTTACAGGAGAATGTCAGGAGTTAATGAGCTTCAGAGAGGCTTTGTGATGCAACATGACAAGGACCCAAATCACACAAGTAATACCAAATAAAGAGTGGCTGAATGTGCATTTTTCCTGAGCACTGGATGATTCAGATGCTGTGGCATAACCTAAAGAGGGCTGTGCTATCAAGACAATATTGATAAACTGAAACAGCTTTGTAGGGAGAAATGGTCCAAAATTGGTCTAAAGGTAAATGTGGAGGTTTTGCTGCTAAAGGAGGACCTGCAAGTTACTAAATTCAAGGTTCACTTATTTTCTCCGCCCTGCACTGTGAATCACTACAATGTATTCAATGTAAATACAATTATTTGTTATTAATTTAGTCAGATTGTTTATCTATAATTGTGAGTTAAATAAAGATCAGACTACATTTTATGAGTAATCAATGCAGAAACCTATATACAGCTGCATTTAAAAAAAATTGGAATATCGTGAAAAAGTTCTTTTTTTGTTACTTATTTCAAAAAGTGAAACTTTCATATATTCTAGATTCATTACATGTAAAGTAAAACATTTCAGAAGTTTTTTTGTTTTTAATTTTGATGATTAGAGCTTGCCTTACAGCTCAGAAAAGTAAAAAATCCAGAAAAAAAACGAACACTAGCTTTTCTAATCTTTTTGTATTCTATCTGTTTTCTTTTTATTTATTGTATAAAAAAACAAAAAACAAAAACCTTGCTACGTGTACTGCGTTAAGCTAACTGAGACTTGTTATAGCACTTGCATATCATTGCTCTTTTGTTGATTTTGATTGCTTCCATCGTCCTCATCTGTAAGTCGCTTTGGATAAAAGTGTCTGCTAAATGACTAAATGTAAATGTATATATTATTTACAATTGCTCTATCAATTTTGGGGTCATATTGACGCCAAAGACCTTAAGTGTAAAAGGAAACGAAGACCATTTGAGGGTTAAGCTTTTAACAAAAACAATTATTCAACAATATTGAAATCCACAAAAAAACATTTTTAAAAGCAAATAACAGTTTATGTATGGGCTGACAGTGTCAGTTCAGTGTCCTTTATTTAAATTCAGCTTAACATTAACCATAAGAGAAGCAAGTGATCCCATTTCTGTTAAAACATTTGGAACAATCATATTGGGATATTATTTAATATATCCTGTCCCAGCATTCACACCATTTATTGATTAATTTATCAGTTTTACTATCCATAGAGATTAGATTTTGTGCTGTACTTACCAAAACTTTACCAGACTTGTGCATCCAGCGGAGATGTGGCTTTGTGTTGTCACATTGTTCCATGATAATCTGTTTTTCCTGAGGAGCCAAACAGGAAGTGTTCTGTCGAAGTATCCTTAACCAGGTGTAGCTGAAGTGTTGACTCTGCGAGGCATGAGAAAACAGAAACAGTTTTTATGATGCAGTGTTTTTTTTTTTTTTTTTTTGATGAATGATTATACAGCAGAATGGAATATCCACGTAAATAATATGTCTGATTTGGATTTACCTTATTTGCGAGATCACATTTATCGAAAAATAAAATGTCATTTTGAAATACCAAACATTTTCTGGTTCCAACATTGAAAATCTGAAGGAAAAAAATATATGTTTGTAAGATTATTAACACAGAATAATTAGTTGTGTAAGTGATAGTGGTGTAAAGCTGATTTATTTTCTACCTACCAGTCCTTCTGCTTTGACCAGAGGGGCGTCCAGATCTGGGTACACCTTCTCCAAGTACCATTTAAAGCTTTTACACTTAAGATTTTTTCTCAGCTCAATCTGTTCTGTCAGATTTCCTATATCAGTCACACTTTTGTCCAGCAGATGGTGGTAGCCATGGCCATAAAACAGCTCTTTATAGTCATCCAGCCACACCTCTGCAACCCTGGCCAAGTTTCTCTCCACTGTCTTCACACGATCTTTAGGGAACTTGTAAGGGTTATCACCACGGAAGATGTGGCCGACACGTGAGCAGGGGATGATTTCAATCTCGCCTCCACACATCCAGATCTATAGCACAAATAACACATTACCTGCTGCCACTGTACACAATTATTTCAGAATGGCTCAAACTTTTAAAAGGATTCATAACAAGTGTAATTTTTTATTTAAGGTCCATAAACTATTAACAAAAAGGTGAGATGTTATGCTGTTTGCCCTAAATGTATGTAAGATTGATTTACTAAAGGAAAGCTTAAACGTGGTCTGCTTTTGACTCTCATTTACTTTCACACACCATCCTAACACGGCGTGTACTTACATTTACATTACATTTACATTTAGTCATTTAGCAGACAATTTTATCCAAAGCGACTTACAAATGAGGACAAAGCAATCAAAATCAACAAAAGAGCAATGATATACAAGTGCTATAACAAGTCTCAGTTAGCTTAACGCAGTACACGTAGCAAGGGTTTTTTAAATAATATAATAAATAAAAAGAAAACAGAATAGAAAAAGAATAGAGCAAGCTAGTGTTAGAAGCCTTTCTGCTTTTGTTAATTGTATAATAAATGAAAAGAAAACAGATAGAATACAAAAAGATTAGAAAGCAAGAGTTAGTTTTTTTAATACAGTATATATAAAGAAAACAAGCAGCAAATGAATAGAGTGCAAGTCTAAAAGGGACAAGTGTTTTTTTTTTAATAGAATTAGAATAGAGAGTGCTAGAGTTAGAGGGTCAAATAAAGATGGAAGAGATGTGTTTTTAG